TGAAGAAGAGGGATCAGCAAACATGAAGAAGCGTGTAAGAAATCCATACCTCTCACATATGGTGCTCTTTTAAGTTTTGATGGACCTTTTTGAGACCTGTTTCAAAGAAAACAATAACCCAATCGTATTCGTGTGACTTACCTTTTAATAAAATTATACTATCTTAATTTAGTATATCGTACGTAGTGCATATCTATTTGATATGCTAGGAACATATGTAATTTTTAAAGATTTATTATTTACATATAATAAGACAAAATATTAATGTACGTGAGATTATGAGTTCATTTTTATAAAATTAAAATCAATGACAAAAAATGTACTCAGATTCTTGATTAGAGATAATTAGAGCATCATCAACGGAGAGACGTATGTGTGTCTCTTATAATATTTTTTAATATGAAATTTGGATAGAAATCCTAGGTGGCAACAAAAGACGTTTCTTGTTGTCCTTAAATAAGAAACGTTTTTCAACCAACGTTTCTTCTTTTCAATATATTTAATCATAAATATTAATAAGAGACAGAGGAAGAGACCAGCGTTAATGATGGTCTTAGGTAGATTTTAGCATTTGGTTTTGTGCCCGCGTTTAGGTAAAAGATAAAAGCCGATAAAAAAAACACTTACGACAAAATGGGAAAGAGAGTAAGAATTAGTCATAGGGAAAGAAAGAACTATATCAATAATTACAATGTGTAATTCAAAGAAACATCATTCATTATTAGTCGGTTATTAGCCAAAGAAAAAATACTCCCTCTATTCAGAATTAGTTGATGTTTAAGGTTTTTGCACACAGATTAAGAATGTATTTAATATTTATTTTTTCTACACTAAAAACATTATCTATAATTCATTTAAATATTATTCAGCCAATAAGAAAACAATCTGCAAAATATAAAAAGTCAAAAACAATAATAATTTATTAAAATTTACATTGAAAAGTGAGAACATCAAATAATTCTGAACAAAAAAAACTTCATAAAACATCAAATAATTCTGAACAGAGGGAGTAGTTGTTAAAACGGTTGATACAGTTTCTCAAAAGGTTTGATTTTTTTTTATTAGTAAGGTATGCATATACGATCAGTGGCAGATCTAGCACAATTTTTAATAGGGGGCAAAAATACACCATGATTAGTGACAAAATATTACTATATAAATTAAAAACTGTTACATAATATGTTAAAATTCATTTTTAATATGATATTTAAAAGGTGAAATAGACTGAAAAAGATATGAATTATGACTAATCCTTAATTCCTCAGTAAAATAAAACAAAACGCTATATCTGTATATTCGTATATTCACAATAAAACTGAATAGACAACTGTCAAATGATCATTTATGGAAAAACTAAATGTCTTAACATAAAAAATAATATCTTGTTATGGTATAAGAATAGAGACTTGGAGACATTCAACCATTATATTCTAAGGGTTTGACTGGTTTAAACGCAGCAGTTGCGGTTGCGAGTGCGGGAGTTTGCGTAAGCGGACGATTGCGGTTTTGAGCGTTATTCAGCAGTTTGCACGACTGGTTAAACTTTTTAAGGCAGATCTATTTGTGGGACATTTTTGACTGGCAAACCAGCGATTGTTTCAGCGGTTAAACATAAAATTACCAAAATAAACATCATATATAATTACAAAAAAAAACAGAAAAATAATTATGATTAATATCATAATCACTAGTTCAAAATAATTAATAAAAATTATAAAAAAATACTAAATAATTCTTTTAAAAACTAATAAATTTTATAATAATATGTTTTATTTCAATTATTGGGAACATCACCCAAAATAGTGTCTAATAATGTAATGGACTGGAAAAAATTTGCTCAAATACGTGGATCTTCTGGATTTATCTTATGCATGATGTAAAATTTCTTCAACTGATCTAATCGATTTTTTGCACGACCCCAACTCAAATCAACTCCAAATTGCTCATTAGTATTTTTCAAAATACATTCTTTCTGGAGTGCACTCAAAAATCTAGGATATTTATCTTGAGTTTGTTTTTCTACAATGATCCGTCGAAGTAACACACATGTCATCTCGTTTGATCATGTAACAAAAAAAAAGAATTATAACAAACTAATTTTGTAATTAATAAAATACATATTTATAATTTCTTACTTTAAAAGTGGAAACATAACAATTTATATAAATGAATTAAACCAAAGTATTATGGCATCTATGCTTGTATCTTAATTTTCTTCAACTGATATAAAAGCCATGATTAGAGACTAGAATTTGATAGAAAATGTGAGAGGTTAGGGTTTCTATATATTGGAGAAGATTAGTAGGGTTAGGATTTTATAATTGTTGTTAACGTGATCTTTTATTTTTTTTCTAGCGTGATTTTAGTTTTTTATTTTTATTTTTTTACCCAACCGTTATCGTCCGCACCCGCAAACGCTGGCGGGAAGCAACTTTTGGATTTCAGCGGTATAAAACGATATGGAGCGGTTTGCAACGATTTCTATAATTGTGATAAAACGCCACTAACCGCTACCAACCGCAACCGCAAACGTAGCGGGTGAACCAATCAACAGCTAAGACTATAGGGGCAACGTTACAAATTAACTTACGAGTATCTAGTTTTCTTTAAGTAATTTTCAAATTCATAAAAGTTATTGGGGGCACTGCTTTTTCCTTCTCGCACTAGCATCTCTGCTTTGGCTCAAAGGGCACTGATGAAGAAGAATCCCAACAACATCGTGTGGATAGCTTGATCAATGTGTAAGGGCTTGACGAAGTAGTTGGTCTTGGTGAGAAATCTCAATTTGTTTGCTTTTTGTTGATTTTTAAGATTGATGATGGATCTCAATCTGGACGTCGGCTCGGCTGAGTCTACTCAGAACAGACGAGATTCAGCTGCTGTGAAAGGGGTTTTCTGGTGCTATTCTGAATCAGATGGATGAATTGGTGACATCGAACTCTTTGTGTGTCAATGTTGAGGCGTCCAACTGCATCGATGGTGAAGAGGATACAAACAAGATGTTACTCCTGCGTCCCTCCGTCCAATCAGCTCTCAAGGTGGGATTTTTATCAAATATGATATAACTTGTCAAAGCTCTTTTGCCATTAATTGCTGATCCGTTTTTCTTTCAGGCTGAGAAAGGCAGAAAGCACCTATCTTGTGTGAATCTATGTCCTAGTGTTCATTAAGGTAAACATATCAAAATGGAGGGTGTTATTAATATAGTTTCCTAGAGAGCTGTTTGTCTTGGGTGAATCTATGCTTAGTTTGACTTACTAATGTTTGGGGCATATATGATGAAATTGAGAAAAAGGCAGAAGCTTTCAGCATCCAAGCTTCTACTGCCTTAATTGCTTATGTTTTTTCGAGCACATGATGTTACCTTTTCTTAGCAATCATCACTGAAATTTTAACATTATCTTTATCTGAATATTTTATGTTAAATAACTGGATGGTAAGATTTGGAAATATCTATTCCCTGAATTGTACCTATTTCATATTCGGTTATTTCTTAAAAATATCTAAGAAATCATTTTAAAACATGCTGTCAATAATAGTTATTGTCTTGGGTTTAGGGTTTAGAAAAAAAAAAAAAAATTGTTATTGTCTTGCATAGTCGTTAGTTTGGTTGTTCATCACAACTTGATTTTGGCATGTATAGCTTCAGCCTTCATGACTGTTTTATTATCATGATATTAGTTATCCCTCAATTGTACCTATTTTTATTCGGTTATTTCTTAAAAATATCTAAAAAAACATATTAAAACATGCTGGCGATATTAGTTATTGTCTTGCATAGTCGTTAGTTTGGTTGTTCATCACAACTTGATTTTGGCATGTATAGCTTCATGACTGTTTTATTATTACGAGTTCCTTTGTTTTTAATGATTGTTTATGTATGTTATACTAAATGTACAAATTTTATAGTTGTAGAAATATTTATTCATTGTTTAATACACTAGTCACGTGGAGAAAATGACTTCTTTTTGAAATTGTATAATGAATACTTGAGATGGAACTATTGTCTGAGTTTTTATAAAAAAGATTCAGTTAAGAATTTAGACATCAAAAATAATTAATAGATATTATAAACAACAATAATCGACTTCAATTCAAATTTGATTATGGTAGGATAAACTAATCAAACTTATTATCTATGAACGAATATCCATTTTTGATTTTCTTTCGACGATAGATCCAATCAAATTTTGAATTTAGTATAGATTAATTAAAAAAAAACTAAAAGAATAGAAATAATGTATTATATAAAATTTATTTTAATTTTAATATCTTATTTATTAAATGTTTGTAGTCCAGTGTGAACCAATTAGCTAGAATAATATATTATATCAAAGTTTGTTTTTCTATTTTAATTTCCTGTTTATTAAGTATTTGTATCTTGCAGTTGATTCGTTAGCTAGTATTCAATCAAATAAGAATAAAAATGTATCCTGCAACTAGCCATTATATTTGTTTATTCACACAATTTCTATTTTTCTTCGTCTATATTTCTACGAGACGTTATATCTACACACATTTTTCTGTTTTTAAAAATAGTTGTCCCCTTTTCTCATACAATCTTACGCATATAAGACAAATGCTAAAACACAACAAATAATGAATTGAAAAAAAAATTACAAGAAAAGGAGTTAGTGATATAACAACTCATGGAGTATCAAATTCTGATATAGACCTAAATCCATTATATAATTCTTAAAGCATTTCTTACTAAAACATCCAAATATCTTGAATTTGTATTCAGAATTAGAAATGTTAAAACTCTTTCTTAGTCAGCAAGGTGCTGTGGTGTAGTGGTTATCACGTTTGCCTTACACGCAAAAGGTCTCCAGTTCGATCCTGGGCAGCACCAAGTTAACTTTTTCATATTTTAATTTTAAATTAACAAAAAGGAAAAAAAAAAAAAAAAATGTCCGTTACTTGATATTTCACCATCGTCGTCGTTGACCCGAAAAAGCGATCTCCATCTTCTTTTTCTAAATTCTTTACAAACCCTAAAATCTCATCTCCTTCACGGTGGACCACTGCGTCACACACCACTCTCTCTCCACCGTCAAACTCCAAAACCCATTCTTCATTTCTCCCCCAAAATCTCTCCAATTCCTTAAATTGGTTTCACCGTAAACCCATAATTCGCACTTTGTCAATCCGATCTTGAAGTTCGAAACTCGAGCACGGCTTAACTTGAGGGATAATTTCGAGCAAAAGTTGAAGAATTCGAAACAGCTAAGGTATGTTTTTTTATTTGACTTGGGTTATCGATTTATATTGTAAAGAATTCGAAACAACATTTCACTGTACAATTCGGATGCTTGAATTGAAGATTGCTTCTTTGTTTTTCATTTTTTAGTATCTTTGGTTAGTTAAGTTAAAATGAGAGTCGATCGAAAGAAAGCATCGATTTTGTGTGTGTGTGTGTGTGTGTGTGTGTGTGTGTGCGGCTTTTGAGTTTTGAAATCGAATCTCAATCTTAGAGGTAACAGTGAAATCTTAATTCATTTTGTGGCTTAATTGAATCAAGATTACTACTTGTGCTAAAGCTTAGGCTTTTTGGGTGAGAATTTCGTAACGAATTAGTTTGCTTCAGATTTACTCTTGTTATCTAAGATCTGTATATCGTTCTAATTTGGTTTTTACTCTATCTTTTTATGAATATCTAAGAGTGAGTTTCTGATCTGTTTGACTTGATTTTACTTTGTAGGTGCATTTTCGTATGATTAGAGAAGCGTAGTGTTTGATTTAGGATGCCTAATGGAAAATGCAAAAGTAGTGTTAATTTTACTTTGTGACAGATCTTGGTTAGTACCATTGCAATAAATCTTATTTTCTCTTTGTAATATGCTGGCTTTGAATATCAGAAAAATGTGATTATTTGGTGTCCTCCAATGCTGTGTTTGTGTCTATTGTGTTAATGATCAGAGTATCATTTCACCAGTCATTTCGAATCATCTTCTTGAAGCATTTTTGTTAATTGGAGTCATTTACAGTGTTACATGTCCACAATAAGCGAACTAAACCAGTTCTGTTCTGCAATTTCAGATTTTAACGGTGCATTGAGGAGCCTTGGAGCTTATTTTCATCCCCTGGTCTCTTTTTCTTATGTGGTGGTGCTTGAGAGGCTTTTTGTATGACATAAATGCTCTAGATCAGAAAAAAAGGTCTAACATGAAGTTATCAAACATTCCGCAACGCTATGTGATAGTCTTCTTAACTTTTCTCAGCACCTCCGTGTGTTACATCGAGCGTGTTGGCTTCTCTATTGCATATACAGTCGCTGCAGATGCTGCCGGGATCAACCAGTCAAGCAAAGGAACCATACTTTCCACATTCTTTGTTGGCTACGCTTGTTCTCAAGTCCCCGGAGGTTGGGCGGCTCAGAAAATCGGTGGAAGGAAAGTTCTTCTCTTGTCGTTTGTTTTATGGTCATCGACGTGTTTCTTGGTTCCTCTCGATCCAAACAGAGTCGGGCTCTTGGTTTTTGCACGTTTGCTTGTTGGTGTTGCACAAGGTTTCATCTTTCCCTCTATCCACACAGTTTTGGCTCAGTGGGTTCCTCCTCATGAAAGGTCTAGATTGGTTTCGATAACGACCTCGGGGATGTATTTAGGTGCTGCTTTAGGAATGTGGTTGCTCCCTGCTTTAGTTGAGCTTAGAGGTCCTGAATCAGTTTTCTTAGCAGAGGCATTAGCTGGTGGTATATGGTCATTGCTTTGGATTAGGTACGCTACTGACCCACCTCGATCTGAGCATCCAAAAGCCGCTGCTGCTGGATTTGGAGGTGCACTCTTGCCAACTAATAACGTAAACCACCATAAAGTTACTCATATCCCATGGAAGAAGATCATGCTCAGTTTACCCGTTTGGGCCATTGTGGTTAACAACTTCACGTTCCATTACGCTCTGTACGTGTTGATGAACTGGCTTCCGACCTACTTCGAGCTTGGACTTCAGATCAGTCTTCAGGGAATGGATTCGTCAAAGATGGTGCCGTACCTCAACATGTTTGTGTTCTCCATTGTTGGTGGGTTTATTGCAGACTATTTGATCACCAAGAGAATACTCTCGGTGACAAGAACACGCAAGTTCTTGAACACGGTTGGGTTTTTGGTTGCTTCAGCGGCGTTGATGGCTTTGCCTCAGTTTAGAACCTCGAATGGTGTGATCTTGTGTTCCTCTGTGGCTCTTGGGTTTCTGGCGTTGGGAAGAGCCGGTTTTGCGGTGAACCATATGGACATTGCTCCGAGATATGCAGGGATTGTGATGGGTGTTTCGAATACTGCTGGGACATTAGCTGGAATCATTGGAGTTGATTTGACAGGAAAGCTTCTTGAGGCATCTAAACTGGTTTACTCAGATTTGTCACATCCAGAGAGCTGGAGAGCTGTGTTCTTCATTCCGGGTTTGCTCTGTATCTTTAGCTCCGTTGTGTTTTTGCTGTTTTCTACAGGAGAAAGGATCTTTGATTGAGAAAAGGATCAGACTTTTTTGATAAACCCTTATCAAGATTAGTTAGTTAAGCCTCTACAATTAGAGAGTTTTTTTTGTGGGAGTTGTTTTGTGTGCAGTAAAGATCTTGTCCTGGGGCTCAAATTTGTATTCTTTTTATTTGGTGAATAAACTTGAATCACACCAAGAGTATTATTAGTTCGTTTCTAAATACACTCTGAATAAAACTTAAAAATTGTAATCTTTGGCCACATTTTCCTCTTTTATCAGTTTCCGTGTTCTTAGATTGAATAATAACGATTGACAGGAACATTTTTGAGTTCTTATCAAAAATGAATTTGTTTAGTCGGAAAGAAAAAGGAGAGGTTGGGTTGTGAGGACAAATGCAGTAGTTAAATGGACAAGACAGAACTCGAAGATTAATGGATCAAGAGGCTCTGTTTTGTTGCTCAAATTTTTTTGTCAAATATGGAGAATTTTAAGACTTTGTTAAAGAGAATAGCTTTCTTCTTATCATCATATATAGTATAAGCGAAGTAAAATTTAAGTTTTGAGCTCTCTCATTTAATCTCAGGATGGTTAATTAACATTTGGTCCTCCTTAAATATTTTTAAATTAATTTTAAATACATTAAAAACGAAAAAATTGTTTAAATTAAATTAACAAACCAAAAAAAAACGAAAATATGGTTTAAATTAAGTTAATAAACCATTATCATACTTTGAAAATAGACTTTGATATTTAATTTTTTAGCGTTTATATTATTCTGTTCTGATTATATCCAATGAGAAGAAAAATTACTAATTAGTTAAATTTACTTATATTAGGATATTTAATAAAGGTTGAATATAATATCAAAAAACTTATTATATCTTTTGAGCGCGTATATTATCTATTTTGATTATATCCAAGGAGTAGAAAAATAACTATATTATTTAAATTTACTTATATTGATTTTCTTAGACATTTATATCTAGGTCTTAGATCTATACTATATTTTTGGTTTGAAACACTATCACGTGTTTGATCTCTTTTTGAATTAAAAAGAGATGGATCAAATATGAATGGGGAGGAGCATGTAGTTGATCTTGCTTAGCTTGAGCTGGCATTGTTTAGGGTAGCATTGAAAAAAGATGATAAGCAAATTTGACCAACTGAAGTAACATGTGAATATACACACATGCTCAAACTCATCAATGTAACATGAGCCGATGGCGAGATCCCTTTGTATTTGATTTGAGACACGGTGTGATTGTTTATATATATATATATATATATATATATATATATATATATATATATGTATGTTTCAATAATGTGTGTGTGTCACTCCATTCATGACTTGGTAGATCCTTCTCTCTCTCATGATTTAGAGAATAATAGTTGTGACATAGATCTAGATTTTTCCCCTCTGCGTTACTGATTTGTTGAACTTGAATATTAAATGAGCTTGGGAAAAGGCACTAATGAATTTGTTATATGTGTTGGAACTTATAGTTTACAGTTAGACTTATAAAACTGGTGCCTCTGTGATTCATTTATTTACATTGAATTCTAGCGATTGTTTTTTAACATCATTGATCTTCCATTTGATATTCTATCATGGTGATGAAGATGTGTGGAAGGAAGACTTTAAGATAATTACAAGCTGAAGATGATGGAAGAAGAGAGGTTTCAAGGTGACTTGAAAAAGGATGTGTTAAAAACTTTGGTAGTTTTTCAACCATCTCTCTTTATATCTCAGCCCGACGTCCATATAATAAAGAGCAATATGATGAAATAAGTAAAAGGCATATAAAAAAAACAAAGTAGTTGGAGAAGACAAATCTGATGAAAAAGAATTCAAAAATACTAGAAAAAAAAATTTTAATCTAATGAACTTTGGATGTAAAGAAAATTTTTTATAGTATTTTTGAATAGTTTTACTTTAACTTATATAGTTTTGAAACAATTATGGGTCTTTATTAGATATTTTTGGTCATTAGTTTTTTTTATTAGTTGATCTTATGTTTTACATTGTTGTTATATTTATGTTTGGTTTCAAAATATATATTCGGTTACAAATTTAACAATCCAATTAATATGAATATTTGATAAAATTTCGGCCTGCATAAGGTGCGGGCTAAACACCTAGTTAATGATAAAAAAACGGAGTATCAAAAGAAAGAATACAAAAGCCCTATATAGGTATGGGGAGCTTGAAAATAAAAAAAAAAGTCGAAAATAATTCAAAAACAGAATAACTTGTAAATCAAGAAATAGATAAGATGTAGCTACATCAAAGGCCAAACTAAAGCCCATAAAATGAGAGCCGGATGGATAAAGGGGATAAATTTGATCGGGTGAGAAACCTAAAAATCGACGGGAAGCATCATCATTGCCTTTCTGAGATCTGAGAAAAACCTTTAATAATGGTGATCGTAAGCGATGAAGAAAGAAGTGGCCGTTGGGGTGAGATATCGGAAATTGACAAGTTATTGCTGAAAGGCGAAGTACGTAAAATTTCTTTCATCTTCCTTTTTAATTTATTTAATTTCAGAGATTGGATCGAATTTAAAAAAAATTGGGGGAAGATGATTTTGTTAGCTTTTTGCTAAAATTGATTTGTGGTCAGGTGTTCGATCTCAAGTGTTCAGTTTACGGACTAAACGTTACGGTGTGTAAGAAAAGGTCTTCTTGTCCCTTGTTAGTCTACTTGTATACTTGTATGGGTCTTCATCGTTACAATTTTCTCAAGGTATGTTACCAAAAAAAACAAGTCGATCTTGTATTCCTTTCAGGCCAGGGTATAGATAACTATTATGATTGAATTTCTCTTCTTCTTCCTCTTCCTCCTTATAGGGTACAAAGTTTGTGGTCAGTCGCGTAAACAAATACGTTAGGACAACGCAGACTGCTGCGAAGTCTTACTACATAACACTTGATGCCAAGGAACCAGCTTCTTCTTCTTCTTCTTCACCTCCTCAAACTAGTACTTTTCAGATTAAGGTATCAGAAGGAAGTCATGGCAGATTTTCTCTGGGTTGCTATACTGCAAGAATTCGAGGTGATACAAGCGGTGACAGAGAAACAAACGCTGTGTATATACCTGGTAAAAGTTACTTCTTAGGTAACTACTTACCCCAGTGGCCGCCAGAGAATCCTTTTGAACAGTTTTGCCTGGTAAGTAAGATCAATATTGGCTTGAGTTTTGTGGTATCTATTATCATATCTTATCAACGATGATCATTCAACAACAAAGTAGTGATGAATATGTATATATGTATGGTCACTGGTCAGGTGAATGAATTAGAGATGCAAGAGATAGACAAGGACTGGATTCATCTATATTTGGAACTTGCAGTTGCCACAGCTGATGGGTACGATAGGAAAGAACCTAAGGACTTTGATGATCTGCATATTGTGGACAAACGTGGTAGCCATAGATGGGGAGGGACTCTATGCCAAGAATGCAACCTTCTACATAAGGTTCAAGGACTTGTTCAGGGCTCGTCTTGGTCAAAATGATAAGGTTGATCGCGTTGCTATAATTAGAAGAAGGTATGATGAGGATACCGGAGCCTTCAGTCTCGAGGGTCAGATTCTGAGTTCACAAGTTATACCAAGGAAGCTTAAGATTGCTGCTCTCGCTGCTAATGAGGAGGAGGAGGATACCGGATGCTTGGATCAGGTTCAGAGTTCAGACATTATACGGTTTAGCCAGGGACCCTTTTCAGAGAATAAAAGGATCAAGTTAAATCCGATTGGATTTCCAAATCAAATCTCCTCTCCACCTCTAGCCACCGGTGAGACGGCAAATCTGGAGGCTGCATGAGAATTGATGGAGTAACCGTGGCTTGGCTTGGCTTGGTTTGGCTCGTCTCCTGCACAAGACAAGTTGAAAGATAATTTACTACTATTTTATCATTGCTGGACTTAGTTATTTGGATTGTTAAGTTATTTGGATTATTAAGTATGATGTGGCTTTTGTGTGCATGTAGTATGATTTAACATAACATATGTGTGCCTAAATAGTGGAAGAATGGGGATACAATTCTTCTTCTTGCTTTCAAAATTTTTCCTCTTAATTGTGACTAGGTGATTGGCCCCGCACACTTTTGCGGGCATGAATCTGATTATGCTTAATATTTGTACCGTCTTATGTTTCTAAAACGTCTCTATGTAATATTATGTTTTATATCAACGATGTGAACATTTATACTTTCTCCTGCATCTCTCTCCTATACTCTGTTTCTTCATCACCATTCACCACCATATGTCAAGAACTGAGATTTGCTCATAGCACCAGAAATCAAACACCGTACTAACACAAACAGAGACGAGAGAAGCGATTTGAATATAAACAGAGACAAGATCGTGTCAAATCGATCTACAAACAAAACGGAAACATATCAAATCGACCGGTGTGTTCAAGACACCAAACAGTTTATCTTAATGTGTTCAAGACAAAACAATATGACTTCACTTGCTACTATCAACAGTCTTCCCTGTGATCGTTCGTGAATACATATCCATTTGGAACCTTCTCAGCTCTTCGTAATTGAAGTATGCCTCTTTTAGTGATCCTTGTCGACAATTGAGTGAATCCCTGTGTAGGCAAAAGACAAAAATACAACAAAATAAATCAAACCATCAAAAGTTATTATGACACCAGTTTGGTGAGCATGCGATGAAGAAAGCAATGGCTGGTGAGCAGCAGCTGAACCTCTCTGCAGGCAAGTTGACAAACTCCATAAAGGTGATGAGAGTGGAATTATGGGGTTTGTCGCTGAACTCTTTTTGCTGCTTCTGTGGCTCGCTGATGTAGTCTCTATCCTCTCTGGAAATGCAGTTTTAGGTATTTACATCAGGAATGCTCAAAGCAGGGTCAAAAACACCAGAAAAAAAAAAAAGCAGACCATAAGAGCTTGAAATTGAGAATAAATCAAACTAGAAACCTGCACGTGACTGCAATGGCGTTTCAGGAGTAGCAGGATGCATTTTCGGATCCCTTACAACACAAGCACGCCATGCTCTCTCCCAACCGCCTTTGCCACCATCTAGAGAAGTGGAGTTAACACACTTTTGCCTCAAACTTGGATAACACATCAGCTTAGGGGAATAGCAATCTTACATGGATCACCAAATGCAGATAACATAGAAGCTTCATCAGGTGCTGTTCCTTGGCTGCAACAGAAAACGAAAATCATAACAGTCAAGCTTTCAAGAAATGCAAGAAGTTCAAATGAGATCGCTCACAAGTCTTACTGACTCAACAAGAACTAGAACATGTAAAAAGTAACAAAGAACTTACACGAGAGCCCCATAGACAAAAATCTGTGCGCGTAGTTGCACTTGTTGCAAGTTTGTGAAAGGTCGACGCAAAATACTTGAGATAGCAGAAGCATTCAGACCCAGTTGGCTATCTATGGGAGTTGAAAAGTTTCCAAAAGCTTCTAAAGCAGGGGTCTGAAGACTTTGCTGCTTCTCCGTAGATGGTGTCATCTGAATAGAAGCAGCAGAACTTTGATTAACATCATTTGTTTTTCCTCCACTTTGAGGTTGAAGTGGTGTAGTATCGCCTTTTACACTACTTCCTTTTCTAGAAGTCTCTTTGCCTGCAGATTTAGATGTTCGCCTGGGTTTGCGCTCAGATATTGGTTTAGAAGACTTTGCAGGTGTTTTCTCTAAGCTACATGTTGAAGGAGATCCTACCACAATCTAGATAAACAGAAACAGATAATGCTATGTAAGAACAAAAGACACTAATACCAGACCAGTGATTAAAATATCTTTAGATGTAAGAAAGGAGGTACAATTGTAGCATCTGGAAAGTTCAGAGCTTTGGAAATGTCCCCCGCGCTTTCTAAGGATTCGGTAAACAGCTGCTCCATTGGTTCCATTCTGCAACCTAGTACATCAAAACTAACAAAGAACTTACATCAGTTGCATATTTGTAGACTGTCGTGGAAATTTAAAGTATTCATACACAAAGTCAAGGTTAGCCAAGGAGCTAGTTTGACTGGATATCTGAGTAGGCAAAGACAAGTTCCCAATTACAGTAACTGCATCGCAAATGATTCTGAAGAATACTATAATTACAGTAACTGCATCGCAATCAAAGGATTCTTCACCCACAAAATCAAAGCTAACCAAAATTTCCCGGCCATAACAAACTTGAAACACGCGTATGGAGTTCATTTAGACGTTCTGAAACGACGCAAGGCTCGATTAGAGTGGGATTTCAACCTAGAAACTCCCTTACCAAAAACAGGAAACGTGCAAAGGAGATGCAACAGTGACAATGCGTAAAACAAAAAACATCGCAAGGTACCACAGAAAGCAGCTAAAGGTTTCTTAAAACCCAAAAAGGACGAAGATTTTAGGACCAGAGAAGAGAGGAGAGAGGTTTACCTGAGGCCCGACGACTGTTAACATCAGCGTTGGAGGACAATCTGTGAAATGCAAGACCTCCGGTACCGCGAATGACGTGAAAAGTAGAAAGCTTTTTATGTCGCAGGTACAGTTTCACAGAAACAAGCGAGGGTTCGGAAGAGGAGACGAGGAGAGAGGGAACATGGAAGAGGGGTTTTTGAGGGTTTATGTACGGAGAAATCAAAATGCTGACTGAATACGCGACCATGTCTCATGAAAATTTCTGGGTTTAGCTTAATCATGGATTAATCACTGTAATTAGCAAGTTTTTGTCAGCTCTGTTTCTTTCCTTAACCTTTTAGTTACTGTAATCAGTAAGTTTTTTTTCTCTAGTTTTAAAATTCGAACTTTTAATTAATCTCTATTTTAATTAATCCGGTTTAAAGTAAAATATGGTTTTAAGTAAAAAAGAACTAGAACAAAATAAAAGTTGGGCCGAGATTACTAAGCCCGTTAATCTATATTATAAAATAAATTAAAAAATTCTAATTTTGGTAAAACAAAAATAAAAAAATTTGGTATATTTTTTGTACTATAATACTTACTTATTTAAACAAGTAATTTGGATGACAAAAATTCTGGAAGCAAACCCGAATAGCACGAAAAACCAATCGATGATCTTTAGAAAATATCTATAATTCAAAGCTGAATTATATTTATTTACTTGTTGTCTTCGTATGAGATAAATCTTGCTTGATTTAATTTTAAGTGATACATAATTAGGTGTTTAAAGCTATTTCTGACTAAAATCAAATTAATTTCACATCGAATACCAAATTGAACTTTGATAAACCGAACCGAATTATAACTGACTTTTTTTATGAAAGCAGGAAAAAACCGAAGATTAGAAAAATGAGAGAAAAAAAAAATCAAATTGTAAACCGGATCTACATTTCTAAAATAAAATCATACCAGTAAAAAAAAAGAAATTAGTATCCTCACGTATAATGTGGATAACCATCTAGCTGGTATGGTGTGGTTTCTTTTGGTATGAACTAATTAAAGTATATATGGTCCCTATATTATAAGTGTATAACCTAACATTCGTGGCACATCTCGACTATGCATGGCTTGATTTCACTTCTTTTTTTTTTGTTGTTGTAGGTTTGATTCCAATCGATATCCTAGTATTTCATTTTCGTTTGATTAGTTGAAATTTGTTTCACATTTTAGATCCATTAGAAATTTTGGTGAACGGCTCATTCGACATTTATAATTAGTCAGATTAGTCAGACTTTATCACTTTTTTATTTTCAGCAATCAGACTTTATCACTTTAATAACAAAAAAAAAGAACAATATAGTAATGACAACACTTTGTGAATTTTTGGTTTTGCAAAAGGTAGGTTGATCTTGCCAAAAAAAGTCATTAATCACATATGTGAAAACATATTATCAGTTTTAGAGTCAAATCCAGTGATTTTGTTATTGATAATTGGTTAAGAATAAAGTTAAGAACCAGAGATATTTCAGAGAGTTTTTTTTTAATCTTATTCTTTACTTATCTGGAAAGAAAGTCGGTTAATGAGACCACTCGCGGTTATTGAGACCCGCGGTTATATCAACATTCGAATCATCTTTGATTAGTATACCGCACTAGCGAATTAAAAAATTTCGCGTTTAAGTAAATGAATTTCGCGTTTGTGAACATTTTTCACGCTTCATCAGATTTTTCAAAAAAGCAAAATTCTGGTTTTTATTCTGAAAGCAATTGGATTCATTCTACTTAAGCTTTCCAGTTTTACTAAAGAAACCCATTGTAATACATCAAAATTTTTGGAGTTTATTTATTTATTTAATTTGATTGTTGTCTTGTCTATAATTGGCTTACATATTGAACTGAGTTATCACAACACAAGGTGAAAAAACTCATCAATAGATCTGTGTTTCTGACATTTTTGTCTAATTTCTGGCTAGAATCACAAGGCAATAGTATCTATAAGATTCGATTCAAAAGCTTACAAAATTCAACTCCCTAATCCTGTTTCTAATGAATCCATTGCATCATTCAGAACAGAGAAATGAAACACAGATCCAAATTAAGTTGACTTTCTTCACAATCTCTTCCTGAGAGAAAAAAATAAATAACATTTCGATTAGAGAGAATCAGAAGAACATGAACAAATCAAAGAATTTAATCAAACAACAGAATTCAACCTTAAAGTATCTTCAAGTTCAGTTTCGCTTTGGAAAGAGTTTCTGCTTTGACACCCTCGAAAATTGGTAATTGTATTCGATAAAGTTTGGATCTCTCTTCTTTTTTTTTTCATGATTATCAGAGATTATCGAACCAAGTCAACCCCAGGAGCAAAGTAATTGGACCCTCCATTAGAGCCACTAATCCACCTTTGTTAGAGCCACAAATCTCAACCCCGAAAGAGTGTGAAGGAGGTTCGTTCTC